AGAAAAAACAGCATGTATTCTTATAAAACAAGTGGAAAGCAAACCAGAAAGTCACAGTTTATACTGCTACAAAAATTTGTGGACTGTGTGATTCAAGACTGACTGTTGTCAGGTAGACCCTTTCACCTCTTGAATCTAAGACTGTGATCTAGCAGTTCAGGATGCATTTCAAGTCCCTTTGGTTTTCATGGTTTATATCTCAAGGGCAGACTTTGGCAGACTGTAGGAACAGGGGGGAGATTTCACATCTGAACCTAGTAAGAATATGAATAAAACCTATGAATATGAATAAAACAATTCTTCCATGGGAAAAACATTTCGTAAGCAAGTTTGACTCCATGCTCTGACTTCACATTTCTGTCCACTGGTGTGAAGGAAATTCTCTTTTCCAGGGCTGAGGAAAAAAGGACTGTCTCACTGACAAGCTGAACTGATAGGAGTGAACTGTCAAAACCCACCTGAGTGCAGCATTTCCCTGCAAAGGTGCTTCAGAGGCAGTGCCAGGGCTGATGGACCCCAGCATTGGCCCTGGCCAGGTGCTATTCATTGACCAGTGCTAGGATTTCAACACTTACACTCATCTCAGCCACACAGGTGGAATTTAAACTGTAAATCTGGACCAGCTGGGTTAACCTGTAGGTAAGGGAGAAGGGAACTGTAAGGACTTAGACCATGAAGTGGGTTCAGGGAAAAAGATGGAACCCCTTTATATGGGTGCAGAAAGATAGGGATGTCACTTCAAATAACAGACAATCTTTGCTTTAATGCTCTAATCCAAAGGTTAGGTTATTAAAATATTACATGGGTCTGAAAAATGCTAGAAATGTTCTCTACTCCTTTAGGTGAGAGGAGTAGATCTAGGAATCATTTGTCTGATTTAATGGGGCAAAGTATCCAATAGAGATAGATAGTAATTTTCATTTCCTGCCAGCCACTTTTGAGAAATAGGGTTTCCAGCACCCAGGGCTCTAATCTTGGAGTAGGGACCTCTGTAAGGTGCCTAGAGTGGTTTTCACAAACACTAAACCTTAGGGCATTCTATAAATCCATGACAACAGTATTCAGGCACACCCTGAATATTTGCTCAGCTGTTGGTCTAATACTTGCAAATGGTCTGAAGGTTGCCCATAACAGACAGGATGAACTGCTAAAGACAAAATGTAGCCTTTCATCTGTTTCTAAACTGAATGCATGCAAAAAGCAACCTGCTCAGGATTAGCATCACATGAAATTTTTAAGACCTTTGAACCTGCAGATTTGGGTATCACAACAAATAGCATGCAGAAGCATCAGCATCACTTGTTAAAGGTGTCCATGGCATTACAGAGTGGGCATACATGAGGGGAAAAAGGCTATCAATATCCCTCTTCATCATTCAGAAACACACCAAATGCTTCAAAGTCTATCAGACTTTATTACCTCTCACATCAGCAAGGTTGTTTGTATCATTTCACTGCCAGATACAGTTGGGAAATAGTCTGGGGAAAGTAACAGAGGGTTTCAGAGGTTGACATAGTTTTCATAGCTTCCAGGACCACAGGATGGTTGAGGCTAGAGGGCACCTCTGGAGATTAGCCAGGCCCACTTCCTGCTCAAGCAGGGTCAGTTACAGTGGGTTTCCCAGGATCATTTACCTTCAGGTTTTGTCTCCACAGACAGAGACTTCACAACATCTTTGGGCAACCTGTTCCTATGTTTGACCACCCTCAAAGTAAAAACGTGTTTTCTTGTGTTCAGAGGAAATGTCATGGGTTTTAATTTGTGCCTACTGTACCTTGTCCTGTCGCAGAATCACAGAATCACTTAGGTTGTAAAAGATCTCCAAGATATCAAGTCCAACCTTTGACTGATCACAACCTTTTTAACTAGACCGTGGCACCAAGTGCCACATCCTGTCATTTCTTGAACACCTCCAGGGATGCTGACTCAACCACTTCCCTGGGCAACCTGTTCCAATGCTTAATAATCAATTTCTGTGTAGAAATTATTCCTAATGTCCAACCTGACCCTCTTGTCCTGTAACTTGTTGCCTGGGAAGAAAAGACCAAACCCTACTTGGATACAGGTAATTGTAGAGAGTGATAAGGTCTCCCCTGAGCCTCCTTTTCTCCAGGCTAAACAACCCCAGCTTCCTCAGCCACTCTTCATTGGACTTACATACTGTTAGTGGGTATCACTAAGCAAAGTCCGTCTCCCTCTTTTTCAGCCCCTCTGCCTTCAGGTATTAATACACATGGATGAGTTTCTCCCCTAAGGCTCTTCTTTTTCTGGATGAACAGTCCCAGCTCTCTCTGCCTCTTCTCATAGAAGAGGTGCTCCACTCCTTTAATAATCTTCTTAGTCCTTTGCTTGACTGTTTCCACTATGCCCATGTCTCTCTCATACTGGGGAGTCCAAAGCTGGACCCAGCACTCACCGGGAGTGAGTAAAAGCCTTCTGACTTTGGTCTTTACAGATACTATTAAAGAAAGGAGTGAAAACAAGATTTTCACTTTTTGTTCAGATCCAGTCTCTGTGTTGAGAGTGGCTGAGTCAGTATTAGCTGATGATTAGGGATTCCTTCACTGACTGATGAATTCAGACTGCTCTCTATTGGAAAAGGATTTATATCAGCAAAGTCACTATTCCAAGTGCTGCCTTTTCCAGAGTCTTAGCTAGGAGGCCAGAGGCAGAAGATTTAAAGAAAACAGCTAGTCCTCTTCACCTAGATGTCGGAAGTGAATTGTTTTAGTAGAAGAGAATATCTCCAAGAGCCTACTTGGCTCAATTCTGACACCTTCATACAACTTTGTGAATTTTCTGTAGCTCTCTTGGAAGAAGGAATGACTTGATCTCAGTTACAGAGATGCCTTTGGTTGCTGGCAAAACAAGCCATTTTCTAACACTGAGTGTCAGTGTTAGGGGTTGGTGTGTATTTCCCAGTGAGCTCCCAAGTGTACTGTACCACAGCAAAAATCACAGCCCAATTTTCCTGCACTATTGTTTCAGTCCCATGTAGAGAATGATGTAGCTCAAATACATTCATCCCTACAAATAAGCAACACTACTTAATGAAGTAGGGAGGAGAAATGTCATAGAGGGACCACACAAAATTTCTACCAAATCTGAAGGAAAATCACAGTATGGAATGGCCGTGCCGGCTGTTGCTAAACACCAGCACAGAGAGCAACCAACCAACCAGCCAAAACATTTCCTTGACCCCAGTACAAAGCAATTGTTTTACATACTAAATTCAACATATCCTTTCAAACTTGACAAGGAGGCTAAGGATTGCAAACAGGGTAAGTGTGAATCAGGACTGCCTGAAGAAGCGCAGGACACGTACAATACTGTTATCTTCAAAGCAGCGATCTCTCTCTTGCTGGTAATAACTGCTACCACAGGTCAAAGCCACCGTCCTGCAGGGATGCAGCCCGAAAACCTACGCGATCAGCGTTTGAGCATCCCGGTCCGTGGCACCGCAGGCGCCGCCGGGCTCCCCGAGCCCCCCGCGCTGTCCCCGGCCGCTTGTGTGGAGCTGTGCTGCCCTCCGGCGGCGGCGGCGCGAACAGCAGCCCTTGGCCGAGGTCGCCCACCGCGGTGACAGCGACACGGTGGCAGGAGCGGGTGGGCTCGGCGCGGCGTGGGCGGCACCGGATTGCGTGACACCCGCACTCCTCAGCTCGCCCCTTCGCCGAGTAAGGCGTTTTAGTGGTGGTGTTGCCCATGGCACGGGGGTGGAACTAGATGATCTCTAAGATCCCTTTCCAACCCAAACTGTTCTGTGATTGTATCATTCTTGTTTATCTTTTCTTTTTCTTTAAGCTTTGCTTTAACGTTTTCTTGCTATTCTGCTCCCCCGATTGCTAAGCGCTTCCTGCCTTTGCTGTTGAGAAGCAGATCTGCAACATATGGCTTCGTGGAGAAGATGGAACTAGTCAGAGGAGCCGAGGCACAGTTCTGCTCACCGGGGAGTTGGAGCAAGAGGCCAGAGCACACAGCTCTCACCCGTTTGCACAAAAGTCTAGGCTTGTATTTCTATGTCTCGCTTTTGGAAAATTATTTAAAGCTCACATATTTTTACAGCATCACCTATATGGAGATATAAATAGTTCGTACCAGAAACCAAAGCACTGTAAAAAATGCAATTTAAACGCTCCTAGGCAAGAACATTATCATGAGAAACTACTGGCGCTTCATACTACTTTACTTAGATATTTTTAAGCACCCGGAAAGCTGTTCTGATAGCAACATTCATTCACAACTTCATATTTATTGAAGTCACCAAGGAACAACGTATGTCATTGGCTCTTCATTTAAGATCATAAATCATTTCTGTAAAACTCGAATACAGATAAGCACCAGATACAGAGCCATAGAACCATAGACTGGTTTGGGTTGGATGGGACCTTTAAATATCATGTAGTTCAACCCCTGATAAGTCTCAAGGGAATATTGAAGAGAGGAATTAGAAAGAACTGCTTGAGAAAATGCCACTCGATTGATACTAAGAAAATTATTCATTGTTTACACAGAAATTATCCCTGGGGCTACATTTCTAGTTTTGTTAGGTGGGAAAAAATGTAAACTGAAATTCCTAAGGACCTGTTTTCAACTCAGACGGTGCATACCATGGACTAGACACGCATACAGCAGCACCCTCTGTGGCAATGAGCTACAGAATCAATATTGATTTCAGTGGAGGGATTAAATTCATAGGGGTTTTTTATGGATATAGGGAAAAGACAAATGCTTCATTGATCCATAATGCTTCCTTAAAGATGGGCATTACCTCGTTAGATCTCGTAATTTAATGCCAAGTTTGGAGTGTTATTTCAAAGTATGATCACAGCAGTAAACATTGAAATCATATATTATCACGTGTAACATGCGCATGCTGCAGAATGATGCATGCATCCCAAGGAATCCCCGGGAACCGGGAGTTATTTCATCATACAACACCATACAACACTCATTTCATCTTTCACGAAGTTCAAAATGCATCTGCAAGCAGTACATTATATACGTGATGAACACGCAGCAAGTATAATGCTCCCATGACTGAGGCTGCGAAGCAGTGCATCCATTTTTCTGGAATAGCAGCACACACAATCATAAGGAGACCTCGAAGTTACTGCAAGTCTCCTGGAATTTTTAATACTGATATGAAACATGGATGTCTAATAATGAGTATGTACAAAGAGAGTTTATGTTGTGGATATGAAACCCCACTTCAGCATTTAAGACTATGATGATTTAGGTCAGGTCCACTGGCTACAGAAGAGGAGTATAGATACAGATCTGGGTATGTACGGGTGTGTGTATGTATATGTACGCTTATACATGTGTGGTGTAAGGAGCAGATATACCAGCAAGCCTCCTGCGTGGTGGGTGTCCCTGCCCCACGGCTGCAGGACACCCGCACGGCCGGGCTGTGGCAGGGGCTCCCGCTCCCCGAGAACAGCCGGTGCCGGCCGGACTCGCCCGGGACCCAGCCCCGTGGGACGCTCGGTGGGACCTGCTCCCGGGAGACCGGCGCGGGGAGCCCAGGGAGCCGCTGAAGCCTCCCGGGGCTGCGACGGCTCCGGGAGCTGCCCTTTCCCGAGAGGTCCCCGCCGGGGTCCCCGAGGGTCGGGCGCGCCCCGCACACCTCCCCGCGCTCCCAGTCGCGGTCTCGGCGCGGGGGCGGCGCGGGCGCGGCGCTGCGGCGGGGCCGCGCCTGCCAGCGGCCGGGAGGCAGCGCCGCCGCTCCCGCTCCGCTCCCGCTCCCGCTCCGCAACTTTCAGGCAAACACCGCCCCCTCGCCCTCGTCCCCCCGCCGGCGGCTGGTAAGCGCCGGGCTCCCGCGCCCGGCCGGGCGGACGGATGGAGGGCGGCAGGGAGCGCTGGCCGCGGACCCCCGGGCTGACCCCTCCGCGCACATGGCCGCGGGAAACTTCGGCCGGCGGGCGGGGCGGGGGCGAGCCCGGGGGCGTCCCGGGCGCTGGGGAGGGAAGAGGGAAAAGGGAAAGGGGCGGCGGGGCGGGCACGGACGGGTGGGTGTCCCTGTCCGCGGAGCCGCGGGGCGCAGTGCCCGGGCGGCGGCGGTGAGGGAGCGGCGGTGCCCGCACAGGTGCGGGCGGGCCGGGGCTGCGGGCGCTCGGAAGGGAGCGGCGGCCCCGCAGTGCCCGGTAGGGAGCGGCGCAGAGCGAGCGGGACCCGCTGCGGGGTAGCGCGGGCCAGGCGGGGGGAGCCCCGGGGGACGGCTTTTGGTTCGGGTGTCTTGCCTTGCCTGCGGGGTGGGAGAGTAAGTTGCTGAGCGATGTAGCGCGGGGGCACAGGGTTGAGGTGGAAAATCCAGCCAGTTCCCCCCTGGGTGTAGTTTTGGGGTCTGTTTGGGTTTTTTTGTTGGGTTTTGAGTTTTTGTTTGTTTGTTTGGCTTTGTTTTGGTGTTTATTTGGGGAGAGCGGTTGTTGTGGTTTGGTGGGTTTTTTGTTTGGTTTGTTTTGTTTGTTTTGTTTTTAATAGGGCACAGAGGAAAACGTTAGTGCACAATGCTGAAATCGGTGATCTGGTCGCTGAGGCAGGTATCCAAAAAGCGGCATTCACTGGAGCAGCTACATTACTGTCATTCTTCGTGCTAGCGTGAGGTTTATGTGCCTTTGAGAGGAAGGTCACTTTTTACCCTCTCCCCCCACCCCCCCAACAACCCACCCTCCTTTTGCTAAGCCGTGCATCAGCAGCATGAATTCCAAGAAGCAGTAGGTGTTTCTTGGCATTTCAACTGGGATTTTGGAAAGGGAAGCCGGGTATTTAATGGGAAAAAATTGCGATGGAAGGAAAGGATGCGGAGGCTGCACACAGCCCTGGGTTTGCAGGCATGTGGAAGTTGTTGAAATAGGTAAAGGGTTGAAATTGGCATTTGGAAAATGGTGGCTATTTCTTTAGTTACTTATACAACAGATGAATATGAGGGAAAACTGGGCCACAAAGAATTTTTCCTGTTTTGCAGTTTGCTGTCAGCAGAAGGTAAAACATGTCCTTGAAGACATACAACTTTACATAAACAGCTGATGTTTACATAAGCCTAGATAAGTTTGTGAAAAACGCAGATATGAGAAGATGCGGTGTTAGCTGAACTCAGCTATCCCGCTGTTTGTCCGTGCAGTAATTTTCAATTTTTTTTGTATTGTTGCAGCGTAAGAACAGAGTGAACAGCTGCACCTTCACCAAAGCAACCACCTGCGTTCCTTTTCTCCTCTGGAATGGACAATGGGATGGTCTCTGACTTTATCATGATCAAAAACTTCTTCCTCTTCTGCGTTTCCATGAGTTTAGCCAGCCACTTTGGGTGAGTTGCCAGCTGTGTTTGAATTTTTGCTGTGGGTTTTTTAAGGAAATGAAAAACCTTGTCTCCGTGTGGTGTGGAGCAGCTGAACAAAACAACCAGGCTTTGCATTTTATCTTAATGTGCTGGTGTGAGGGGGAAGGGAGTGATTTACTCTCCTGTTCACATATACTCTCTCGTGTCAGTTCTTTATGCTGTTGCAGGAAGGCTTGGAGGGCACAAAGGGCACAGACCAGGCCTACAATTTCTGAGTGCTCTGACCTGGGTTTAACACGGCTGGGGCTGTGGTGCTCCCTGCTCCTGCGTCTGTGATGTAAGGGTCTTGCACCTTCCCTCTTGCCTGATGGTTGCGGGTTATAGGCAGTAGTGCAAAACTGCAACAATGGGACTCGGTGCATGCTACTAGCTAGTACAGGCTTTCCTGGTGATTAAGCTAAAATAGTGACTGTTCAGAAGGATATCTGAGTTTGAAACTTATTAGAATAATTAGAAATTGTGTTTCCCTGAAGCATATAGCAGGGAATCCTGTTTTCTTATTTTTGCTTTGGATGCTTTCATGACAGTGATATTCTGAAAGCTGTATCAAAAAAACACTGCAACGTATAGCTCTTAGAAAATGAAAAATAATGTCAGAAACTCTCTATTTATATGTTTTTCCTATACCAGAGATATTAAGAACTTTCCAAAATTGAGCTCTGTAATGGAATCTGGGAAAAGCATTTTGCAAGTGCTCAGGAAACGTAGGTTGATTCTTCTTTGTGGAGGAGAACAATTATTTATGATTTCACCAGAAAAAAATGAATCCTCCCAACATTCTGATTCACAAGCACACCCATCAATTCCTTGCTATAAGAAGACACAAAATGGAGATGCAAATCAGTTTCTGATTTCAAGCAAAGTGACTTGTTCCAGATTGGAACTAGGAGAAAGACCAAACTTTGAGTGATGACTGTCCACATTGTAAGCAAAACGTAGCCTGGTCTCCAGCGTGTGTCCTGTGTATGTAGCTGGAAGCCTGTGACCACAGTGCTTTATAGGAACAATTGTAGGACTGCACTCTACAAAGGATGCAAAGAGCTGTACACTCACTTATCCAGCTTGAAAAAACTTGTTCCTGCTTTCACTGTGGTCTAAGGGAAAACTCTCACAGGACTTTGTGATAGAAATGAAGAGGGCATAGATAGTGTGGGAGTGGTTTTAAACTTGCCTGTACATTGTTGTAATTCAACATAGTATTTCCAAAATGAGGAAATGTTGGTGACTATAACCTTAAGTCTTCCTTGACTGTTCATCGTCCCTGCATAAGGCAGCACATTGCAATAGTTGAGCATGACCTGCTTGGTATGGGGTGGTCTTTTAACTGTTTCTCCTCTAACAGAAGAATAGAAAGGCAAGGATGGAAAAAAAAAAATCCAAACCTGAAAAAACAACCCAAAAGCCAGAGGGTTTAACTGTCCCTTTCGACTCCAAATACTGAATTGAAGTCCCAGGTTAGGACTGAGTGTGACCCGTAACCTGGCAGATATTCAGAACAGGACAGTTAGAGGAAACTAGGACACTTGTTTTCTGCAAGTTAGTCAAAAATCTTCTGTGCACTAAAATGAGATCATCACATAAGTTTCCCCCACCCTTCTTGCCCCCCATTTCTAGTCTAGTAATTTTAGTCCAGGCCTGTAGAGATAAACAGCTCCAATTCACTGCACCATTCACACAGTGCCTTAGGGCTGAATTTTGACCCTGCTCAAAAGACAAAGGATGCTCCAGCGCTTCTGTTTCAGAGGCAGAAGCAGTTTCAGAGTGTAATTTGCTAAGTGCTTTGGGACTGACTCTCCAGGACAGAATGGTACAATTAACATGTAGGCTGCTGTATTAACTGCAGGAATCTAATACTGATAACACTTGCTGTTGATAGCAGGTTCTTTATTAGCTTCATCCGTGTTTGGACTGTGCTGTTATATTGCAGTGTGTTTTGCAATATGCTTGATAAAAGTGATTGGTTGAAAGAGCAAAAATTAAAAACCAAAATACAGGAGGGCATTACAGATGAAACAGATTTTTCTACAGTTCTCCATAGTCATTCCATATTTATATTAAATCATAAATACAGTTTTTGCTGACATAGTCAAAGCCACCTTGGGGGATTTTGATGCACAATGCCTGGTAAAATAAACAGAAATTACATATCTCAATCTCCTAGGCTACTTGAGAAATCTCAACAAAAGTCTGTGATTAATGTTTAACATAAATGTGTAATGACTATCGAGAATTAACCACACTAATATGCAGTAGAGAAGGACTGTAGACATAGTTGGTAGAAGTTATTTAAAGAAAACTTGGTGAATTAAAATTCAAAGATGTAGATGAACTGAGAAGAGGATGTGAAGTCTTACCCGCCTCTTGCTCTGTTGTTGGTATAACAGTTTTATGAGTTTACATCTACAGAAACGGTCCAGCATGAGTCAAGGCTTTTTCAAGCTTGCTTGAATTCAGCCTTGAGTTGTGTAATGTTCTGGTAAGTTATTTTACTTAAGGATTTCATTAATTTTACTTAAGCATTCATTAATTATTTACTTAAGCATTAAGATAGTTCATAATTGTCTTGAAACGTAACATTAATAATAAAGCTAGAGAATGACTAAAAGTCAAATATAACCATCAAGAGCATTTTCAGGTAAGACAAGAGACGGATTCCTTGTGGGCCCTCGGGGAGCCCAGGTAGTGGCAGCCCTGTGAGGGTGGGAGCCACAGCTTGCACACAGATCTGTGTGAGACAAGGCAGCTTGTGTTCAGCTCCACACTGGCCAATCTTATTGTGTCCTGGCTCTTATTGCACAAGTCCACGACCGTCCACGGGCACATCTCTGGGGACACATTGGTGATGCACAGTCCTGTTTTGGACATGCAATTTCAGAAATCTGTCTGAAAGCCAAACCCAACAGGGACGGACGTTGTTCATGTACCCACAGCTTAGTTGCCATCTGCTAATAATATTTATAATAGTAGAAACACAGAGAACAGAAGATACCAATTATATGTAGCCAACCCGGTATTTCTCTGTACACTCTTAAGAATTCAGTCTGTGGTGTGTCTGTAGTTTCACATACTTTTTCTCTAGCTCACAGCCCTTATCACTAAGACCATAATCCTACTATTTAGGCAGAACATACCTCTCCTTTAGGCTGTTATTTCAAGTTAGTCTCTGCAGCCCTAAGCAGTTAGTTCTGCAGGGATATCCCTTTCCAAGTACTTGTGATGCTTCCTCATATTTTTAAAGACCAGTTTTGTAAGAATTACCATATCTTACGCAGTCATGCTTGTTTGTTTATTTCTTTATTCTGTTTTCCTTTCCCTCTCCATGTATCCAGATAGCTTTTTGAACCCTTTAGACAATTTTAGTAACTGGAAAACTAAGTGGGTGTCTAGAATTTCTTGGAGGAGGCAGACATCAGTCCATCCCACTGCCAAACAGAAGGCTACGGCTTCAGCATCTCTGGTCAGCCAGCTGGCCAAATAGCAGGTGTGTAACTGCTGGCCAGCCAGCACGTACTTAGTGTAGGAGAAGCCCTGGCATGCAGTGCCTCCCAGTGAAGTTGCAGGTGCAGTGACCTGGGGAGCTGAGAGAGTATTGGGAGGTGTTTAATGACCCTGGAAGAAATTCAGGACACTGAAAGGGGCAAGGGGGTGAGGACTGTAAGATGTCACTCTATAAAAAACAGGCTTTCATTGCACTGCTCACAAATTGCTCCTTCCCAGAAGGTAGTAAAATAGTACTCTTTATAAATAAAAGAATTAAATTATTCTTTAAAAATATGAAAATAGTATAAAAGCTTTTTAATTTTAGTCATTCCGCTCCTCTGTTTTAATCCCATGATCCCATGTGAAAGAATTAAATCTTCATTGCACAAATTCACAAAACATCAGCATTTTTAGATCTCAAGAACCTGTAAGGAAGGGGTAGCAAGAAACTAACTTAGCAAAGTAAATCTATTTCCTTTGATATCTGACCAATGTCAGTATCCAAAAGTCTGCAAGTACATTTTCCACTGTCTTTCCCACAAGCTGTTAATTTGTCTGAAATTCAGTTGCAATTGCAATCCTATGAAGGCAACTTGTTGGAAATACTACTCTTAAGAGAGAGAGGAAAAAAAAATACATCTTTTAGCAGCAAAATACTCTTCAGTTATTTTTTCAGTGTTTCTTACCCTTTTTTTAAAAGAAGTTTTGGGAAAAATCATTAAATATCTACCGTGCATTTTCCTCTTAGTACAACTAAGCTATGAATAGTACCTGTTATGATTTTGACTGGATGGCAGAAAAAGACGGTGATGTTTAAAATGGTAAATGATGAACTCATCAGAAGAGGTAGATGAGCATATTTAGAGAGTTATTACATTTTACACTCATGGGCCCCTTCTGTGGCTTCTGATTTTTTTCAGTTACCCTGAAATTGCAATATTAAATAAATGTGATGAGAAATATTCCTGGTTGATTTAGTTTATGTTCAATAATGATCTTTAAATGCAATTATCTCTGAGTTTTCTTAGCATTTTCCTAAGGTTTTTTTCTAGGTTTATTTTTATCCATACTGAAAATTTCTGCTTTAAAAACATTTTTCACTGCAGAGGGGCAATAATGTGCTTACCTAGTAATATGTTGATAAAACTAAATCTTTAGCTGTGTGGAAATAATTAGTTCAGGGTAGCACCTGTTTTCTCTCTATTCGTAGAGCTATATAGTATCTAATGTATGTATGTAACTTTGCAAGTACTGTAAATGTCTTGTGTCATAACAGACAACCTCAGACCTTACTCCAAAACACGCATTTCACCAGCAATCTTAATAATAGAAATTAAATGCCAACTTTCTGTGAAAGAAAAAGTAACATTTACACAAGAGCAAATAGCAATCTATCTACAAATGCAGCTTCCCATCATACTGACATTTCACTGAAATTCAGCATCAGGTACCTTTTTTATGGGTGAAGTGATCTGCCAAATCAAAATCGGATTGCAGTTTTGCAGACGTGCAGACTTTTGTAAGTCTTCACTGTAGTTGATTCCCCATCTTTTCCCCTTATTAATTAGCTTTTCTTGTGGAGATATAGAAATATTTCAGTATATGGAGTGTGTGTACTGTTCTTGTAAGAGATGTACACAACTGAGATAGAAGGAAGCAGCATCAATTACTCTTGTTAGATTCAGAGAAGCAGTTATGAGAACTAAGTGTATTTTGTCCCATCCCCACAAAAATAGTTCAATGGAAATCTTCCCTCTGAGTTCAGTTGGCTTTGAATTCAGCCATAAGCACTAAAAATAATAAGCTTTTTCAAGAGCAGAGAAACTGGTGAACCTTTGTGTCCTGTGCCCCCAGCACCATATCTTTACAATAATCCCAGCTCCACATTTAGCATCCCTTGTTCTCATCTCCCATTGCAACACCTACATTTTACCTCTGCTGTCCTTCTCTCCCAGGATCTTTCCTAATCACCCTGGAAGTCTCCTCCATATCTCTTAATTACCAGAGAGGAGGGGGGCTGGTCTTGCTGAGGCTGTTTCTGAGCTACGTGTATGCTGAGTGGCCCAGTCAGCGAACCAGAGGGAATAGATGACTGCTAACCTTACATTTTTACTTAATGAGGCACTAATTTAGATTGCTCTCCCCTTGTCTAGTCACAGCTTCTCATGAAACTTGTAGGAATGAAATGAAGTTTGATCTCTCTGCTCCTTTGTCAGATGCAGTAGAAAATGAAAATGGGTTCCTACACTGATATGGTGTAGCAGGCAGACAGCATGATGCATATCTCTTTCTTATGAATAAAGAAGATAAAATAGATGAGAAAAGTTGAAAATAGTATTCTAGGTGTATTGGATTTTTGTGGTTGGCACTAGGATTTTATCAAAGTGTTAGTTATGGTTGCTGCACGTAAAGAACATCTGTAACTTCTGTCTCCTGTTTGAATTCCTTTGCATTCGTTAGGCTGCTGCCTGTAAATACTCACTTTTATGTGGTGAATCCCTTTGATTACAATTGACAAAAAGGTGTACAGTCTTTTGTTTTGAATGGTTCAGCATGCAAGGATGGCTAATGTTTATGTAATCAGTTTGCTGTGCTGGATTAACTGTTTTTCGTTAAAGTCAAACATGTCCATGATCTTGTCTGCTTCAGTTGCTCACTGGAGGTTGTCGTCACAGCAGAGAAAACAGAATTAATTTGGTCTTTTGACCATGAAGAGATGAATGGCCTGAAATATGGTCAAGATCTGTGGCTATGCCTCCACCTGCACTGAAGGGGAGATCCTTAATGGCCTTGGGCTCTGCAGTGTGGATCTTTCTGAGTGTCACAGCAGTGCCAATTGCACTCAGACTGCAGGGAAGATCCTCATCCAGGCATTTGCATGGACTTTGGTGTTTCAGGGACCCCCACTGCCCTGCCTTACTCCCCTGTTCTGAGAGGCTTTGCAATCCTTTCCTTTTTCAGCAGAAGCACACAAACTGTAAAGGAGACAGGCGCAAGACTGGGGGTCTCCATGTCTGTGAGAGGATATGTGGCCAAGAGCAGCTTGTTCTGAGCCAGGTCTGGTGTCACTAAAACTTCCAGATCTATTACATGGATGTCAGTGAGGTCCCATTAGTGGAAGCCTTGTGCAGGTAAAACCAAGTTGAGGTCCCTTCTTTCTTTGTATGAATCCTGTTCTGCTAGGTAAGTCAAACACGTGTTGCAACCATTCTGCAAGGCAAGCTGTTCAGAGAGGTGCTCTGATCTTCTCTATTTATTTACTGATTTATTTCCCTGGGGACTGGTAATAAATAAACATGGGGTTTATTTATTTATTTATTTATTTATTTATTTATTTATGAATTATCTCCTGATGACTGTCTGGCATCGAGTTCAGGTTGCTGGAGCGTAAACAATTCCTATCTGCTGGCAGTGGGCATAAGGCAGAGTATATGGTGGGGTTATGTGCCCTTTCACAGCTGCAGCATTTGTTGGTGACTTCAGCAGAGGCTGAATCTTGAAAAAGAACCAAGAGCGAGCAAACTTGTTGTCTTAAGAAACATTCATTGCTTCTGCAGGTGAAGCATGCTTATGGATAACTCTCATGTCTATTCTTTAGGTAAGCAAAGGCATTAGTAGGCAGGGGATTCTCCTAAGCATCTTTAAATGAAAATCAAACAGATATAAAAATGCAAGTTTTAGTTGTGCTGTGAGCTGTGAGAAGCTTCCTAGGTCTGAGCCGCAGACAAAATGATGAAATAAAAAAGAGTTCAGATTAAAAACAAATCTGAATAAACAAAGATATGGAATGTGGCCCACTACACAGTGCTTTTATTTGCATACTACAAGGGAGAACTAATTTATGCAAAAGAAAGAGGAGGAGTGAAGAACTGTGTTTTCTGTACAGCAGTACGTTTTTCAGATACCCCAGTGGTACCCCAGTGGGATTTTTGAATGTAGTGGGAGTTTGTTATCCTCAAATAAAGTTAGAGTTCATCCTTTGTTCTGGCAATAAATTACATTTATTTTGAAAATTAGAAGCTGTTTGTCATTTAAAGACTAGACACTACCTTCAGGCAGACTTGAAGGTGCATCCCCAGGCAAACCCATGCTGCTCATGCAGCTCCCCTGCCAGCTGATGTAGTTCCTAAAGAATGGAGAGCCAACCTGGCAAAAACCAGTAACAGCTTTTGCTGGTCCCATGGCTGACCTTACTCCCTCCAGGGGATGGAGAAATGCCAGCACTTGGGAAATGGTGGTGCTGATGTGGGCCAGGGCAGCACGGGGGACAGGAATCTACCCGTGCATTATGGACAGAGGGTCAAAGGGCTCAGGTGTTCCCTGATCCAGCTCCCCAGGATTGTACCTCCATGGCATGGATCATTCTTTGGATCCTCCTCCAGGGAGAGCTATTTAGGATTGCTTATAGCAATGACGAAATCACTGCAGCTCCTTGTGTTACTCAGCTGCAGCAGCGGGAGAGGACAGAGGCTCAGTGGCTCCATTGCAAAGTTCCCTCGAGACTGAAGCCCCTTGGAACCAGCGTGGCCTTTGACATGTTTTCTTTCATTTGCATGAAATAGCTTCTCACAAACGCCAACACCGTCAGGAAAAGAGGACACCAATGATAACATCACTATATTCACCAGGATCTTGGATGGTCTGCTGGACGGCTACGACAACCGACTGCGCCCAGGACTGGGAGGTAGGAAAACTCATTGGCTGTGGCCAGTCCCCTGCTATACAGGACCATCCTCTACATGATGCCCTTCCAAATGAGTACCTGCTCTTGGCTTTGATGAGGGAGTTGTGTTTGATTAACTAAACCAAGTTCAGGAAGTGGATTTGTCTCCTAGCAAATGGGCCACAATAAAAAAAAAATCACTGAAAGTTGTCTTCTTTCAGTCACTGAGGTCATCTGAGGTTGATTTAGGAGAGCATCTGTGATGCATTTTTTCTGTAATTGGATACAGTTTGGGTTTTTCTTTCTGGTACTTCCTAAGATGAGCAAGACAATATGCTAGCAGGTTGCTGCAAGGTTCCCTTACTGGTCAGCCTATATAAAATTCTGCTGGTGACACATATCTCTTTTCAAAACAGATCACCAAACCATTCATTTTTAGACAACTACAGAATATCTGTATTGATATGTCATTTTGATAACCTCTACAGCAGCTATTTTAAAACCACAGCATGTGAATAGTGAATAGCATGTGAATAGGTTGCCATCCTAACCTTGCTGAGCCCTCTTTCAGCTCTATCCCCCAGATTTCTCTCATCTTCTACCCATGTGTAAACCATCTGTTATGTTTCTTCCTGGCCCTTTTTTAATCTGGCTACCCCCACCCCTTCCTCTTGTGAGACCAACACATTGCTTTCATCCCTTTCTCTCCTTCTCCTCTCACTTTACACAGAAATGCTTGAAAATAGGGCTCAATGCTCTTATCTTATGTAACGAACTTCTGAAATTTCTGCCCTTAAATTAAATTAGTACTAGATTTGAAAAGATGCCAGAAGGACTTAGAGACTTGAGGGCAGAAATAATTTCACCTAATTTTGAACATCTCTAATATAGATGTCTGAAATCAGGCAGATCACCCAAGCCAGCAGAGGGGAATAGGTCCTTCCGAGATACACTTCATCTCATCCTATAGTGGGAATTGAGTAAGTGCTGGCAATGTGTGCTCACAGCCCAGGAAACCAATCGCATGGTGGGATGTGTCAGAGGAAGGGTGACCAGCAGGTTGAACGAGGTGATTCTGCTCCTCTGCTTTTGTGAGTAGTGTCCAGCTCTGGGGCCTCAGCATAAGAAGGTCATGGACCTGTTGGAGTGAGTCCAGAGAAGGTTACCAAGATGATCAGAGGGCTGGAGCAACTTTTCCATGAAAACAGGCTGAGACAGTTGGGGTTGTTTAGCCTGGAAAAGAGAATGCTCTGGGGAGACCTTATAAAAACCTTCAAGTGCTTAAAGGGGCTTAGAGGAAATATGCGGAGGGGCCCTTTATCAGAGAGTGTAGTGATAGGACAAATGTGTAATGGTTTTAAAGTGGAAGAGGGTAGATATAGATTCAGTATTTGGAAGAAATTCTTCACTGTGAGGGTGGTGAGGCACTGACAGAGGTTGCCCAGAGAAGTTGTGGATGCTCCATCATTCAAACATTCAGTGCTGGGCTGGATGGGTCTTTGTCTGATCTAGTCGAAGGTGTCCCTGCCCATGGCAGGGCAGTTCAAACAAGATGGTCTTTAAAGTCCCTTCCAACCCAAATGATTCTGTGTTTCTGTGATCTGTAGAAGCCTTTCAGAGGAATAACATTCTTGAAGGTCTAGTTTATTTCTAATTAGAAGAACAGAGTCTGGACTCCCTGCATTTGATCAAGGATGAAATGTTTCCTCAAGCATACTCTTAATTTCCAGCTTTTGGGGATTTTTGAGTGATTCAGAAATTTTAAATAGATAAATGCATCACAAGTATGTATTTGCATCTTAAAATAATTACTAATGCAAAGTCCATATTTATTACAGAGAGAATAACTCAGGTGAAAACAGATATCTATGTTACCAGTTTTGGTCCTGTGTCAGACACAGAAATGGTAAGTTATCATGTGGCTGCCAACTCTGTTGTATTTACTTTGCTAAAGTCATTTTTGGAACTATTGCTTCTATTCAGATCCTGCAATACCTTGACTGTTTCTTTGTTCCAGGAATACACCATTGATGTTTTTTTCCGACAAAGCTGGAAAGATGAAAGGCTGCGATTCAAAGGACCTATGCAACGCCTCCCTCTTAACAACCTGCTTGCCAGCAAGATTTGGACCCCAGACACTTTCTTCCACAATGGCAAGAAGTCTATTGCTCACAACATGACAACCCCAAACAAACTTCTGCGGCTGGAGGATGATGGCACTCTGCTGTATACCATGAGGTAATAACCAGGATTGATTTCCTCTGATGCTGATTCCTAACTAACCCTGCAAATACTTGTGGGGAGCATCACTTTCTCCACTCCTATGAGAACTGGGCAACCAATCTTTCACATGTATTTACGTGAATATCAAGAAAAATGGAGAACACAATCACTGCCTACGAGTACCAATTAATTTGTAGCTTCTGAATACTGCTAGTGCTTAAATATTTCCTTTGATTAAATGGAAGGCATATTCTCAACAGATTTGATGATTCAGTTCAGCTTTCTTATGAAGATCTGTTCTCTCTTACTGTTTGTATTTGCAGCTGTAGTGCAGACTGTAGCAGAACAGTCTCCAAGACCAGAAACTGAGACTTTGTTCTGGGGCAGTACATCTCAAACCCTTGGAGCTTTGGTTTTTTTTGGTTTTTTTTTCATTTCACTAATAGTACTAAAAGGCAAATGATCATAGGGAGAAATGAAATACTCCAGCAGCACTGTGAAGCTGCTTTAGCAAGTACTATCCTGAAAACAAATCTGAGACGTTATATTGGTGTCTCAGATCTTCAGGGTCATGCTTCTCATCTGATTAGAGGATACTGTCAAGCTTCATCATTGCGTAACCTAGATAGAAGATATAATATTGGTGATTTTAGAGGACTATGTGAAATTCTTCTCAGGCCAAATCCCACATCAGTGTATGGCAATTTGCTCATTAAAGGTAATTAGCCAGTAGTAATTAAGACTGCTGTCTATCTTCAAAACGGTTTTCTCCAAGAGCATAGTTGTATGGATAACAGTTGAAAAAGAGATGAAAGGAAAAACCTACTGGGCAACAAAGTGCTATTCAGAGCCCAGAGTGGCAGGCCTGAGACCCAGTAAAGTGCTCAGGAGCCTGAAGCTGGGTGCTGAGATGCCTGGGTTTCCAGTAGGCAATCCCAACCAAGTGGGGAGCTGAACTCCTGCTGGTGCTGTGTCCTGCTGTGGGGCCACACGATGCTGCACATCGGGAGTGCAAGTCCCGAGTTCACCTACAGGACCTGTGGTTAAGACTTGTTGGGGCTCAAGGAGATTATGCTTTTGTACACAGGCACCTGGAGCTCTTCAGAAGAGACAGGCAAGGTAGGAGAGGTGGAGGGGTGGCTCTATTTGTTAGAGACTCTCTTGACCTTGAGGTCAGTGACAATAAGGTTGAGTGCTTATGGGTCAGAATCAGGGGGAAGGCCAACAAGGCCAGCATCCTGGTGGGAGTCTGTTATAGATCACCCAACCAGGATGAAGAGAGTGATGAATATAAGCAGCTGGTGGAGGTTTCAAGATCACCAGCCCTTGTTCTTGTGGGTGACTTTAACCTGATGGATGTCTGCTGGGTGCAAATGGCAGAATATTGTCAGATGCCACATGTACGATATTGAGGAAAAGCTCAACATATGCAGCTGCAGAAAAATACGGGTCTGACACAGACTTTCTCACTGTTCCACTCAGTCCTTTTTCCCCTGATTTTTTGGGGGTTGGTGATTTTGTAGACTACAGAAAGAAACAGTGTTTTGTAACCTAAAAAACCATGCAACATAACTCCCTTTTTTTTTTTTTTTTTGCTAGAGTATTGTGTGGGGATGTGCATGCGTGCGGAAATAAAATTTCCACTAACTGTGACATATGTGATAAGAAATGGAGCACAAAACTTTTAAAATAGCTTGCCTTCCGCTATTGCAAATAATAACTTTAGAGAGTGTCTGCTTAAACATGAGTCAGGAGCCTGCTTTTCTAACACGCATGGAGCTGTGTTTCTTTAGAGGCTGCAGATTTTCATGATGGGTGTTTCAGCAGCATGAGCGATGCTGTGCCAGGAGGTGGCTTGAGGATCCCTTCCTAACTTGTACAGAGGTGACTGTGACAAGCAGCAAGCCCCTTCAGCTGCCTTGGCATGTCCTGGTGAAGGTAACAGCTCAGCAGTTTCCTAAGATGGCTTTTCATGAGAAGCTAGGCAGCACTGGGCTTTTTGAGGGGAGAGCTGCTTGTCTCAGTGGTAGTGTGCTGTGAAGGTACTGAGCCCAAACTGGGGCTTCAGCCCCATTTCCTCTAGCTCCCATCAGGCTTACTCAGTTCTCAGGATCTGTGGATGTGTAGACAACCCTCTGTTAGCTCTGCATTCTCTTCGTTTCCAAGGAGGAATTGCGAGCTTCCCAGACTGTACGTAGGAGTATTATGTGGAGGGAGGATTGGACCCTCTGTCATTGACGGAGATGCCTGAATTGCTTTTGCAACCTCGCATCTGGCTGCCTGAATGAAGAGGAGGGAAGCAGCCAAGCCGATGCTGACCTTCCATCCTATTTCACTTCCAAATATACCAGTATGATCAGCTGAGGAAACTTCCAGCTTTAGCACTTGTCAGGGCATACGTTTTCATGACACACATGTTTACTTATAAAGAAAAATGCGCTCCGCACATATTGCATTTGGTGATATGTTGTCTAGGTCAGAAGTTGGTGGGGTGTATGTTGCTAGGGAAATCAGACAAACGGGCTTCTATATATGTGCGGCTTTAAAACCCTTCTGTGTGAATATAGAAACACAACATGTCCTTTAGACAGATTTTGTAAGCAGCAGTGTTCTCTTCTGGGAATGACTTAATAATTCTGGTTGTCTTTCACTTGGGAGGCCCTATTAGTTTTATTTTGCTACTGTAATTTACAAATTACGTGCTGCTGAATAGAATATTGCAAATTCTGTTTCTGCCCCTAGAGGGGAGTATTGTCCACAGCTCCACTTCTAAATTTTTTATTTTAAAGTAAGGGCACTGGAATAAAAAGCACTAGAAAATATACTTAATGTTTTACTAATATGTATAAAAAATGTCATTGTGAATGGAGGCAAAAATAAGATTATTTCCCTTCAAAACTTAAAATATATTCTGAGAAATAAATGTTGTAAAAAACATAGAATTCATTAAGTCCATGAAGCTATTCTGAAAAATTGGAACAGTGACTTAAGCAACATTTTTAGACTAAGAAGAGAACCATCATGTTTCAGTGAGCTGCATTTTTTTTGCTCTGTGGGAATTGGCAATTGGAATTCTGTAAAGACAGAAGTTTTGATAAAGTGTGCTGCAGAATGCCAGAAAAAATGCTGCAAAGAAGCCAAAAATTGTATGAAGTAAAGCATACTCACTAGAGCTAAACTTTTGGACCGTGAATTAACTTTTCACTAGCAGCTCATAGGCATTTTTAATTATTCTCTATTAGCTTGCAGGTGTTGAAAAATCTTTCTTGTGCCATCACAAGGGCTAGGCTCATTAGAGCCCCATTCTCACTATCACTTTGAAAGGACTCCAAATCCCTTTTGCTACCACTGAGACTTTCAGGCATCTGATATAGTCTGGGATTTTAAACAGAACGTGGTCACATATCTGAGGAGAGTACAAACAGATTTTTCCCATCTTATTATGGTGACTGAAGATTGCCAGAGATTCTGAGAGAGCTTACAGTTAGATCTGTCCCAGTAATTTGCATATGAATAATTTATCAGCTGGAGAATGCAGACATTTTTCAGTATAGTGTTAAAAAACTCCAAAACTTTTAGAACAGCCCTGAAATACAGTTCCCGGAAGATATTTACAATTCAGCAATGTGTGGGATGAATATCCACTTGATGGCAGTATAACCACACTGCTTGCTCTGCTGTAGTGCATACAGGTTTACCTAGGCTGAAAATATTTTTTCTTACATTAACACTGAGCATTAAAATTGTATGTGCAAGTGTAGACATGTCCTGGATGCATGTTAGCCCAAAATGTGCTCTTCCATAAAGGACTTGGATTAGCAAGCTAACCATTTTATACTGTAAAGCTATTGATCATAAAACCAGTTGACCAGAAGATGCAATACTGCTTTGGAGACGTCCATAGCGAAAGCCAGGTTTTGTTTGCTGTTTTATTTGTTTGTTTGTTTTTTTACAGGAAAATTATTCTATGAAAAATGTGTGGGTTCTTAAGCTCTGACTTTGCCAGAAGGCAGCCTTTCCCAGATGCAGGTTTGTTTGTGTGCCCCTGAGTGAAAAGTGGCCAGCAAATATTGACCCTGAGATTAGCTCAGTTGGTTAAAACTTGGTGGTGATAACACCAAGGTCAGGGATTCAATCCCCTGTGTGGGCCATTCACTTAAGAGCTGGACTCCGTGATCTTTGTGGGTCCTTTCCTACTCAGAATTTTCTGATTCTGTAAATATATTCTTTAAAATGAACTCTTCATTTTTCATCAGCCCTCTGTCTAAATGGGAACCTTTTTTTTCAATTTGAATGTGTTTTTCTTATTTCAAAGGGAAGATTTCATTTACACACCCTTTTATATTTACAGACTGGGATCTGTGAATGCTTCTTAGGCATCATATAAATATTACAAAATTAATTAGGAACTATGAAGCCCTACAAATGTGCATTTCCTTTCCCTGTGTTAGACTTGCCACATTTTTTTTTCATATTCAAGCTTCAAACTGCCTGAAGCTGGAAGCAAAAAAATAATTTCTTCACATTGGGCTGAGTTCTGCAGAGTGATGAAAACTACGATGGTGGCAAGGGCTCTCAGCTGCTTTTCATCAATTCAGATTTTGACAGAGCAAGAGAAAATAGGGATATATGAAATGAAGGGCCCTTCCCTGAGGATAGCAGCAGCATTCTTGCTTTAACACCAAGCCTGTTGGTTTCCATCGCTCTGCTTTGGTTGCACATTGCCCCTTTTCTCAGAAGTTGTCCTTCAAGGAACCAAAATTTGTTGTTTTGAAAAATCCAGGGCTGTATTTACCCACAGGTAAAGGAAGGCATCAGAGGAGACTGTGGTGTTACACATTCAAAATGGGCAATTATGACCTGTCTAAATATAGTCCCTATGTAGAGTGTGTGACAGTGGCCTATTCTGCTGGTAATAAAAGTGGGCAGAGCCCTGCAGAGATCTCCATCACAGAGATGGGAGCTCACACAGCAGGGCAGAATTGATTAAAGACAAGGCCCAAAACAGAACTGGC